TACTACAACTATTATTACTACTACCACTAGCACCACTGCAACTATTATTACTATTACTACTAGCACTACAACAACTGTTATTACTACTACTACTAGCACTACTACAACTATTATTACTACTACTACTAGCACTACTACAACTATTATTACTACTACTAGCACTACTACAACTATTATTACTACTGCTAGCACTACTACAACTATTATTACTACTAGTACTAGCACCACTACAACTATTATTACTACTACTAGCACTACTACAACTATTATTACTACTACTAGCACTACTACAGCTATTATTACTACTACTAGCACTACTACAACTATTATTATTACTACTACTAGCACTACTACAACTATTATTACTACTACTAGCACTATTACAACTATCATTACTACTACTAGCACTATTACAACTATTATTACTACTACTACTACTAGCACTACTACAACTATTATTACTACTACTAGCACTACTACACAATTATTACTGCTACTACTACACACTACTACAACTATTATTATTCCTACTACTACTAGCACTACTACAATTATTATTACTACTACTAACACTACTACAACTATTATTACTACTACTAGCACTACTACAACTATTTTTACTACTAACTAGCATACTACAACTAATATTACTACTCTAGCACTACTACAACTATTATTATTACTTATTACTACTACCAGCACTACTACAACCATTACTACTACTACAACTAGCACTACTACAACTATTATTACTACTACTACTAGCACTACTGCAACTATTATTACTACTACTAGCACTACTACAACTATTACTACTATTACTAGCACTACTACTAAAACTGTTACTACTACTACTTCTGCTAGCACTACTACAACTATTATTACTACTACTAGCACTATTACAACTATCATTACTACTACTAGCACTATTACAACTATTATTATTACTACTACTACTACTAGCACTACTACAACTATTATTACTACTACTAGCACTACTACAATTATTACTGCTACTACTACCACTACTACAACTATTATTATTACTACTACTACTAGCACTACTACAATTATTATTACTACTACTAGCACTACTACAACTATTATTACTACTACTAGCACTACTACAACTATTTTTACTACTACTAGCACTACTACAACTAATATTACTACTTCTAGCACTACTACAACTATTATTATTATTATTACTACTACCAGCACTACTACAACCATTACTACTACTACTACTAGCACTACTACAACTATTATTACTACTACTACTAGCACTACTGCAACTATTATTACTACTACTAGCACTACTACAACTATTACTACTACTACTAGCACTACTACTAAAACTGTTACTACTACTACTTCTGCTAGCACTACTACAACTATTATTACTACTACTATTAGCATTGCTGCAACTATTACCACTACTACTGCTACTACTAGCGCTACGACTATTATTATACTACTAGCACTACTACAACTATTAATGCTACTACCACTACTAGCACTACAAATATTACTACTACTACTAGCACTACTACAACTACTATTACTGCTGCTACTACTACTATACTACTAGCACTACAACTATTGCTACTACTACTACTAGCACTACTACAGCTATTATTGCTGCTAAAACTACTAGCGCTACAACTATTACTACTACTACTTGCACTACTGCAACTATTAATGCTACTACTACTACTAGCACTACAACTATTACTGCTACTACTACTACTAGCACTACAACTATTACTACTACTACTACTACTAGCACTACTACAGTTATTAGTGCTACTAACACTACTAGCACTACAACTATTACTACTACTACTAGCACTACTACAACTATTAATGCTACTACTGCTACTACTAGCACTACAACTGTTACTGCTACTACTACTACTAGCACTACAACTATTACTACCACTACTACTAGCATTACACCTATTACTACTGCTACTAGCACTACTACAACTATTACTACTACTGCTAGCACTACTACAACTATTACTACTAATACTAGCACTACTACAACTATTACTGCTACTACCACTACTAGCACTACAACTATTACTACTACTACTAGCACTACTACAACTATTACTACTACTACTAGCACTACAACTATTACTACCACTGCTACTACTACTACTAATAATAACAATAACAATAACAACAACTCAATAATAATTAATAATATATAATAATATATATATAATATATATAATAATAGTAATAATTTAATAATAATAATAATAATATAATAATAATAATAATAATAATCGCCATAGCAGTGCCCTTTTAGAAAGACAGCTAGTTACCGAGCGATGATGAATGTGCCTTTATCCTTGCGTGGCCTCCAAACTATGTTGGAAAGTCTCCCATGCTTAAGTAAAATACTTTTGAATACTTAATACAGAAATACACATTGCATACTAGTGGATGAATAATACATAACGTATTTTTGAATGTGTTTAATACGAGAATAGACTGAAAAAAAAATACGCAATGTATTGAGACAGACAGACTTACTGACAAACAGGCAGACAGATAGACAGACAGGAAAACAAACGGGCAGACAGACAGGTAAACAGAAAGACAGGTAGGCAGGCACGCAGGCAGGCAGACAGACAGGAAGATAGACAGACAAAAGCAGACAGGCAGACTGACAGACAGGCAAACAGACTGACAGGCAGACAGACAGACATATAGACACTTCAGCTAGAGAACGTCTGTATTTTCGAGAGGCAGCATCCCTTATGTTCCCTCACAATGTTTGGGACCACGTTCACAGTTGGTCCTATCGTTCACACTTGGTCGTATCGTTCACACTTGGCCGTATCGTTCACACTTGGTCGTATCGTTCACACTTGGTCGTATCGTTCATACTTGGTCGTATCGTTCATACTTGGTCGTATCGTTCACACTTGGTCCTATCGTTCACACTTGGTCCTATCGTTCACACTTGGTCGTATCGTTCACACTTGGTCGTATCGTTCACACTTGGTTGTATCGTTCACACTTCGTCGCATCATTCACACTTTGTCGTATCGTTCACACTTGGTCCTATCGTTCACACTTGGTCCTATCGTTCACACTTGGTCGCATCGTTCACACTTGGTCGTATCGTTCACACTTGGTCGTATCGTTCACACTTGGTACTATCGTTCACACTTGGTTGTATCGTTCACACTTGGTCCTATCGTTCACACTTGGTCGTATCGTTCACACTTGGTTGTATCGTTCACACTTGGTCGTATCGTTCACACTTGGTCCTATCGTTCACACTTGGTTGTATCGTTCACACTTGGTCGTATCGTTCACACTTGGTCGTATCGTTCACACTTGGTCGTATCGTTCACACTTGGTCGTATCGTTCACACTTGGTCCTATCGTTCACACTTGGTCGTATCGTTCACACTTGGTCGTATCGTTCACACTTGGTCGTATCGTTCACACTTGGTCCTATCGTTCACACTTGGTCGTATCGTTCACACTTGGTCCTATCGTTCACACTTGGTCGTATCGTTCACACTTGGTCGTATCGTTCACACTTGGTCGTATCGTTCACACTTGGTCGCATCGTTCACACTTGGTTGTATCGTTCACACTTGGTCGTATCGTTCACACTTGGTCGTATCGTTCACACTTGGTCCTATCGTTCACACTTGGTCGTATCGTTCACACTTGGTCCTATCGTTCACACTTGGTCGTATCGTTCACACTTGGTTGTATCGTTCACACTTGGTCGTATCGTTCACACTTGGTCGTATCGTTCACACTTGGTTGTATCGTTCACACTTGGTCGTATCGTTCACACTTGGTCCTATCGTTCACACTTGGTTGTATCGTTCACACTTGGTCGCATCGTTCACACTTGGTTGTATCGTTCACACTTGGTCGTATCGTTCACACTTGGTTGTATCGTTCACACTTGGTGGTATCGTTCACACTTGGTCCTATCGTTCACACTTGGTGGTATCGTTCACACTTGGTCTCGTTCACATTGTCGTATCGTTCACACTTGGTCTATCGTTCACACTTGGTCGTATCGTTCACACTTGGTCCTATCGTTCACACTTGGTTGTATCGTTCACACTTGGTCCTATCGTTCACACTTGGTTGTATCGTTCACACTTGGTCGTATCGTTCACACTTGGTCGTATCGTTCACACTTGGGTCGTATCGTTCCACACTTGGTTGATCGTTCACACTTGGTCGTATCGTTCACACTTGGTCCTATCGTTCACACTTGGTCGTATCGTTCACACTTGGTCCTATCGTTCACACTTGGTTGTATCGTTCACACTTGGTTGTATCGTTCACACTTGGTCGTATCGTTCACACTTGGTCGTATCGTTCACACTTGGTCGTATCGTTCACACTTGGTCGTATCGTTCACACTTGGTCGTATCGTTCACACTTGGTCGTATCGTTCACACTTGGTCGTATCGTTCACACTTGGTCCTATCGTTCACACTTGGTCGTATCGTTCACACTTGGTCCTATCGTTCACACTTGGTCGTATCGTTCACACTTGGTCGTATCGTTCACACTGAGGTCCTCTCCCCCACGAGGACATGTATTCACCTCCATTATTTGACGTCACCCACACTTAATTACCCATTACTGTAATCAAGCTAATCATTCCCTAAATCACTCTCGCGTGTGATTCTTGAGTGCTAAGCTGCGAGTATTTTATCCTCATGGGACGGCGCTAAATCCGTAAGGGCAATGGGAGACAACCAGGTTCGATATCCAAGGGAGCTGGGGAGAAGGATTGCTTCACTTATGTGCTCCACTTTTCTCCCTACGTCTACTACTACTACTACTTCTACTTTAATTTTAAAAGAGGTGGAGGGGTAAGCCAGCGGAAGGCCTCGGTCGGATGACCAAAAGGTCCAGCTACAGCTCATCATATGACTAAGACCCGCGTCAGGAAACGTCGTAGTAAAGCTCCTGTCTCTCTCTTTCCTACGTTCGGTTTATCTGCGTATAGCTCCTCTCCCTCGGATTATGGTTGAGAAGGAGGGGCGGGCACTCACCTGTATCATGATGCATACCGCTACGATGCCGTGAGCTTTGGACACAGCGTCGGAGAAGTTGTGGAAGAGCTGCGAGTTGTATCCGTAGATCTGTATCTGAGGGAGAGAGAGGTGAGGGGTGAGTGAGAGAGGGAGTGTGCGAGTGAGGGAGTGAACGAGCGAGTGACTGTGTGAGAGTGAATATGTTGAGTGAATTAGCGGAGTAATAAAGGAGGACCTGAAGGAATATGAGTGAATAAATGAGTGGAAGGGAGAAGAGAGAGAGAGAGAGAGAGAGAGAGAGAGAGAGAGAGAGAGAGAGAGAGAGAGAGAGAGAAATTATGCATGAATGTATAAGAGCAATGAAAGTTAAATATAACTACTAAAAAGTTAAATTATTTTAACACGAAGCAGACACACACACACACACACACACACACACACACACACACACACACACACACACACACACACACACACACACACACACACCCACACACACACACACACACGTTAAGCTGGCTTAACTTTGGTGGGTTTAAAAGAGATGATAGAAAGCTTTAAGATACTGTCAGTGGGTCATGAGCAACAGACAGGCACACCTCAGTCTCTGTTACTATACACGAGTGTTCACAGGTAAGCTCAGTTATACACAGGTATTCACAGGTAAACTCAGGTATACACAGTCAACGCGGCAACCTCACCTGGATATATATTTAGCTGTTAACCGACACCTGGTGCCATAATAACACCTTCAGCACAGAGGAACATGATATATGAGCCAGGTTTCTCCAACTGGAAGTTAAGATAAGGTAAGATAAGATTTCGTTCGGATTTTTAACCCCGGAGGGTTAGCCACCCAGGATAACCCAAGAAAGTCAGTGCGTCATCGAGGACTGTCTAACTTATTTCCATTGGGGTCCTTAATCTTGTCCCCCAGGATGCGACCCACACCAGTCGACTAACACCCAGGTACCTATTTGCTGCTAGGTGAACAGGATAACAGGTGTAAGGAAACGTGTCGAAATGTTTCCACCCGCCGGGAATCGAACCCGGGCACTCCGTGTGTGAAGCGGGAGCTTTAGCCACCAGGCCACCGGGCCACCTAAGTTATTGAAGCACCGGGTTAACCCTCAATGGGTGAAATCCCATACACCCAATGTTCTTCTTTTCTATGTGTTGATGCCAGTGGTTAGAGCACTGGCCTGTTACTGTTAGTTTAAAAGCCGTCCAGTAGATGGATAAGACAGGTGTGCAACACCTGTGTAGATGTGTCGCTCACTAGTGGCTGCATCAGTCCTATGAATACTGGAGACGGTGCAAGACTTGTGTCTTATTCATCTACACGTGTCTTATTTTTCTACAGGTGTCTTATTCATCTATTGCAGGGGTTCCTAATCTCTTGACGATCACGGAACTCCAGTGGATTGCCCACTGTGTCCAACCTCCCTTCACCAGACTGTGGAAGTCACCATCGTCGCCATCGTTAGGTGACTTCATAAGATGTCAACAACTTGGTTTAACTTTTTACATATGGATAGCTAACAATACAACAATTGTTAGTTTATTTTAATCTAACAACTTTTTTAAAATTGTTCAGATATCGAGTCCCACACCCCCATTACTTGGTTCCCATACCCCCTTTATTTGGTTCCCATAACCCTCAAGGGGCATGGATACCCCCGGGTATAAACCACTGATCTATTGGCTTGCGATTTTTACGACTCTATCGCCATAGGATCTAATCTCGACCCTTCTGTCAGATATTTGCTGTCGTGTCGTTATGAAGTCGCAAGACAGATAAAGAGGGAGAGAGAAAGAGAAAGAGAGAGAGAGAGAGAGAGAGAGAGAGAGAGAGAGAGAGAGAGAGCGGGGGGGGTGAGCTAATGTAGGAAAGAGGTTTTAGACTATATATTCAGTTAGAAACCTTAACTTTGAAAACCCTGTGTAAACAGAGAGAGAGAGAAAGAAAGAGAGAGTCTCACCTCAGCTGGGAAGGAGGTGCCATTGACGGTGTGTTCTGAGCCCATGTAGTCCTTGGAGCCGAAGTGAAGCTGCACTTGACCAACCTGCAGGGCGAAAACGGAGCTGAATCATTTTACCTTATATATATATATATATATATATCCTATATCCTTAATTAATAATCCGCCTCTTTGTATGTCATACACTCATTGCGGGTCATAAGAGAGTATTTCTGATGTTCCAGAGTGTTTTTGAGTGTTCTTGTAGTATTGGAACCGTTATACCCATATGAACCTCGGTTTTCGTACGCCCTAGTGTGTATGTGAAACTGTAGTTATTCTCTATAAAATATATATTTTGTTAATATATTTGGGTGTCTGGAACGGATTAATTGGATTAATATTATTTCTTATGGGAAATATTAACCAAAAATACATGTTACAGAGAATAACTATAGCTTTGCGTACAGACTAGGGCACACGATGTATAGGATATTCGCATACACATCTGAGGAACATCCGCACAATTTCTTACATCCGTATCCGCATCCCCAAAATAAAGAAGACATAGTTATACATATCCGCATCCGCGGATATGTAAATTTTCACATCCGATACATCTCTAATAAATATGTGTATATATATATATATATATATTATATATATATATATATATATATATATATATAATATATATATATATATATATATATATATATATATATGTCATGCCGAATATATAAAACTGGTCAATTAGCAAGAACTCATATAAAATTAAGTCCTTTCTAAAATTTTCTCTTATACGTTTAAAGATATATTTTTTTCATTAATGTTGATGTAAAAATTTATAATTTTGCACCAAAAGGAACTTAGAAAACTTACCTAACCTTATTATAACAAGTGCAATTTATTTTAGCCTAACCCAACTAAATATATTTTAGATTTGTTTACAATAATTTAATACTAAACAAACACAGTGAAATATATTTTTTTTCGTTAGGTTCAGAATGATTTTGGCGAAATTATTGCATACACAAATTTTCACTTGTCCTATATGGCAAGGTGAGCGTTGCTATTTAAGCCAAGATCGCAAGTTCTGCCTATTCGGCACGACATATATATATATATATATATATATATAAATATATATATATATATATATATATATATATATATGTTGTGTGTGTGTGTGTGTTGTGTGTGTGTGTGTGTGTGTGTGTGTGTGTGTGTGTGTGTGTGTGTGTGTCTAGGTAGTAGGTTGGTAGACAGCAACCACCCAGGGAAGTACTACCGTCCTGCCAAGTGAGTGTAAAACGAAAGCCTGTAATTGTTTTACATGATGGTAGGATTGCTGATGTCTTTTGTCTGTCTCATAAATATGCAAGATTACAGGTACGTCTTGCTACTTCTACTTCTACTTACACTTAGGTCACACTACACATACATTTACATGTTTATTTATACACACTCATCTGAGTTTTCTTTGATTTTATCTTAGTTCTTGTTCTAATTACTTTTCCTTTTATATCCATGGGGAAGTGGAATAAGAATCTTTCCTCCGTAAGTCATGCGTGTTGTAAAAGTCAACTAAAATGCCGGGAACAATGGGCTAGTAACCCCTTTTCCGGTAATAATTACTAAAAACAATTAGAAGAAAATCGTCAAAGTGGGAAGTCTGAATGTGCGTGGATGTTGTGCAAATGATAAGAAAGAGATTATTGTGGATGTTATGAATGAGAAGAAGCTGGATGTCCTGGCTTTAAGTGAAACAAAGCTGAAGGGGGTGGGAGAGTTTCAGTGGAGAGGAATAAATGGGATTAGGTCATGGGTTTCTAATTAGAGCTAAAGAAGGAGTAGCAATAATGTTGAAGGATAAATTGTGGCAGGAAAAGAGGGACTATAAATGTATCAATTCAAGGATTATGTGGAGTAAAATAAAGGTTGGATGTGATAAGTGGGTTATAGTAAGTGTTTATGCACCTGGGGAAGAGAGAAGTATAGAGGAGAGAGAGAGATTTTGGGAAATGTTGAGTAATTGCGTGGGGAGTTTTGAACCAAGTGTGAGAGTACTTGTGGTTGGGGATTTTAATGCTAAAGTGGGCAAAAATGTTGTGGAGGGAGTAGTAGGTAAATTTGGGGTGCCAGGGGTAAATGAAAATGGGGAGCCTTTAATTGAGCTATGTGTAGAAAGAGGTTTGGTAATAAATAATACATATTAAAAGGTATGATGTAGCACGTAATGAAAGTAATTTGTTAGATTATGTATTGGTGGATAAAAGGTTGATGGGTAGGCTCCAGGATGTACACATTTATAGAGGGGCAACTGATATATCGGCTCATTATCTAGTTGTAGCTACAGTTAGAGTAAGAGGTAGATGGGATAAGAGGAAGGTGGCAACAACAAGTAAGAGGGAGGTGAAAGTGAATAAACTAAGGGAGGAGGAAGTTCGGGTGAAATATAAGCAACTATTGGCAGAAAGGTGGGCTGGTGCAAGTATGAGTAGTGGGGGGGGGGTTGAAGAGGGTTGGAATAGTTTTAAAAATGAAGTATTAGAATGTGGGGCAGAAGTTTGTGGTTATTGGAGGGTGGGGGCAGGAGGAAAGAGGAGTGATTGGTGGAATGATGAAGTAAAGGGTGTGATAAAAGAGAAAAAGGTAGCTTATGAGAGGTATTTACAAAGCAGAAGTGTTATAAGAAGAGTAAAGTATATGGAGAGTAAAAGAAAGGTGAAGAGAGTGGTGAGAGATTGAAAAAGGAGAGCGGAAGATAGAGTGGGAGAGGTACTGTCAAGGAATTTTAATGAAAATAAGAAAAAAAAAATGGAGTGAGTTAAACAAGTTAAGAAAGCCTAGGAAACAAATGGATTTATCAGTTAAAAACAGAGAAGGGGAGTTAGTAGATGGGGAGATGGAGGTTTTGGGTAGATGGCGAGAATATTTTGAGGAACTTTTAAATGTCGACGAAGAAAGGGAGGAGGTAATTTCATGCACTGGCCAGGGAGGTATATCATCTTTTAGGAGTGAAGAAGAGCAGGATGTGAGTGTGAGGGAGATGCGTGAGGCATTGCGTAGAATGAACGGGGGTAAAGCAGCTGGAACTGACGGGATCATGACAGAAATGTTAAAAGCAGGGGGGGTCATAGTGTTGGAGTGGTTGGTATTTTTGTTTAATAAATGTATGAGGGGAAGGTACCTAGGGATTGGCGGAGAGCATGTATAGTCCCTTTATATAAAGGGAAAGGGGACAAAGGAGACTGTAAAAATTATAGAGGAATAAGTTTACTGAGTATACCAGGAAAAGTGTACGGTAGGGTTATAATTGAAAGAATTAGAGGTAAGACAGAATGTAGGATTGCGGATGAGCAATGAGGTTTCAGAGTGGGTAGGGGATGTGTAGATCAAGTGTTTACATTGAAGCATATATGTGAACAGTATTTAGATAATGGTAGGGAAATTTTTATTGCATTTATGGATTTAGAAAAGGCATACGATAGAGTGGATAGAGGAGGAATGTGGCAGATGTTGCAAGTATATGGAATAGGTGGTAAGTTATTAAATGCTGTAAAGAGTTTTTATGAGGATAGTGAGGCTCAGGTTAGGGTGTGTAGAAGAGAGGGAGACTACTTCCCAGTAAAAGTAAGTCTTAGACAGGGATGTGTAATGTCACCATGGTTGTTTAATATATTTATAGATGGGGTTGTAAAAGAAGTAAATGGTAGAGTGTTCGGGAGAGGGGTGGGAATTAAATTATGCAGAATTAAATACAAAATGGGAAGTGACACAGTTACTTTTTGCTGGTGTTACTGTGCTTTTGGGAGATTCTAAAGGAAAATTGCAAAGGTTAGTGGATGAGTTTGGGAATGTGTGTAAAGGTAGAAAGTTGAAAGTGAACATAGAAAAGAGTAAGGTGATGAGGGTATCAAATGATTTAGATAAAGAAAAATTGGATATCAAATTGGGGAGGAGGAGTATGGAAGAAGTGAATGTTTTCAGATATTTGGGAGTTGACGTGTCAGCGGATGGATTTATGAAGGATGAGGTTAATCATAGAATTGATGAAGGAAAAAAGTGAGTGGTGCATTGAGGTATATGTGGAGGCAAAAAATGTTATCTATGGAGGAAAAGAAGGGAATGTATAGTAGTACCAACACTCTTGTATGGGTGTGAAGCTTGGGTTGTAAATGCTGCAGCGAGGAGACGGTTGGAGGCAGTGGAGATGTCCTGTCTAAGGGCAATGTGTAGTGTAAATATTATGCAGAAAATTCGAGTGTGGAAATTAGGAGAAGGTGTGGACTTAATAAAAGTATTATTCAGAGGGTTGAATAGGGTTTGTTGAGGTGGTTTGGTCATTTAGAGAGAATTGATCAAAGTAGAATGACATGGAGAGCGTATAAATCTGTAGGGGAAGGAAGGCGGGATAGGGGTCGTCCTCGAAAAGGTTGGAGGGACGGGGTAAAGGAGGTGTTGTGGGCGAGGGGTTTGGACTTCCAGCAAGCGTGCGAGAGCGTGTTAGATAGGAGTGAATGGAGACAAATGGTATTTGGGACCTGACGATCTGTTGGAGTGTGAGCAGGGTAATATTTAGTGAAGGGATTCAGGGAAACCGGTTATTTTATATAGCCGGACTTGAGTCCTGGAAATGGGAAGTACAATGCCTGCACTCTAAAGGAGGGGTTTGGGATATTGGCAGTTTGGAGAGATATATTGTGTATTTTTATATGTATATACTTCTAAGCTGTTGTATTCTGGGCACCTCTGCAAAAACAGTGATTATGTGTGAGTGAGGTGAAAGTGTTGAATGATGATGAAGGTACTTTCTTTTTGGGGATTTTCTTTCTCTTTGGGTCACCCTGCCTCGGTGGGAGACGGCCAACTTGTTAATATATATATATATATATATATATTATATATATATATATATATATATATATATATATATTATATATATATATAGATAGATAGATAGATAGATAGATAGATAGATAGATAGTGCGTTGGGGAGGGCTAGTGGCAGGTAATACTTTTGTTTACTGCTGCTACCAGCACCACTACTACCAGAACCACCACTACCAGCACCACTAATACCACCACCACTACCACCACTA